GCCTACACCCTCCCCGGTTCATTGCTGTTGCATGATCGAAGAGATCTGGCTGGTGGGTGGGAATTGGCAAGTGACCAAATCCTTGTCACTGACCTTACCTCTGTGTCCTTACCTCAGCACCATTTGTTAGATCTGGACTTATAATTTTTGTTCATGTAAACATACAGTTCTCATTAGTTTCATTGTTGTTAAGATGAATAAGTAAATAATAAGCCAGGACTTTAAGGGGTTAAATAAAGCAGCTCTTTCCAGTACACTGCAGTCTACAGTAAGTGAATGAGAGGCTGGCTGAACAGAGACTAATGTGAAAGAGAGACTTTGTGTTGGTGTAGAAGACCCGAGGAGGGCAGAGACAGATGTGTGTGCCCCTGGCTTGTGGGTGGCTCTGTGAATGCCAAGCGGAGCCTGGCTGGCTGCTGCAGTGGTGCTGCAGAGGATCATACTGAATCAGTGGGCACTGTAAACACAATCGATCAACCGCCTGCCCTGCAACACACCACATACACCCTGCACCCCTGACACACTGCATATTCAACACACCCACATGCACACACAACTCCTCAAATACATGCATACTCAGGCACACAATCTGAATCTACAAAGACACCGGGGAGAGAAAACAGAAAAGAGAAACGCCGAGAGGAAGAAAGAGAGCATGAAGAACAAGAGACTAGTGAGGCAAGACGCTGCAAAAGGGAACAAAGTAATGTATAAGTGTTTGACACACAATGCTGGCAAGAGAGAAATGTGCTAATTGGTGTGTACTGAGCTGAAAAAAAGAGCACTAATAAGATGTGGTACAGTTAGAGATCAACTTAAAACAGCCTCCCCAACCTGTCCCCAGAGCTCTGCAAACACTCCATTATTTCTCCCCCAGATCCCAGCACTGAAATGCTGGTTCAGGTGGGGTGGGAGCTGTGAGAAAAAATGCAGACCATCTGAGGGTCCCTGAAGACTGGGCTGGAAAACACTGACCTAGAGATAAAGTCATAGGCAGTAAGTGGGTTCTATGTGGTGCTGCCTCAGGGCATAAGCAACCAAGAGGGACTTCAGAAACTCACAAATCTTCCTCATCTAAGCTCTTAACTTAACATTTATCTTGGGGATGGAGAGAGAGAGACAGAGAGAGAGAGAGAGAGAGAGAGAGAGAGAGAGAGAGTGTGAGGGGACAACCACCCAATGTCACCTTAAAACAGCTGCCACAGTCATCACGCTAATGCACCTGCAACAACCCAGTGACCCTCAGAGTTAATGAGGATAGAGGGGCTTGAACGAGGACACTTACTGCAGCTCTGGGAGTTGAGAGAGGCATGGCAAAGACAACATACTACACACACATACAGAGATAGGAATATTTCCAAACTCACCTGGAAGTCCTTCTCCTCCAAAATCTCCTTCCTCCAGTGCACCAAGAAAGCAGCACACACATACAGGTGGAAGTGGGAGAAGCCCTCGGGCTCGGCCTGACAGCAACATACAAAACAGAGCAGGAGAATCATCAGAACATGAGCTCAGAACAAGAGTGGATTAATGAGCAATCCTCAAGCCCTCTGAGAAATAACTGGGCCAAGGTTAGATAAACTGCTAAGGCTTTAGAACGTCCCCCATTCACTCTAACAAAGTGAAACCATCTATTATATTCTTCTACAAGGTTCAGTATGAATCACTGCATTCAGAAAATACTGAAATATACTGTGCATACTAAAGAAAACCACATGTATGTGGAATAATATGAGCTTTTGATTCATCAGGAGCTTATTCCTTGAAGAGGGCCTCCAGAAGTGAACTTATTTTGGATAGATACAGGGGCTTCAGGGTTAGAGGAATGCTGTTCCTATGGTTTGCTAAGGAAAGTTATCTCTAATAGAGTAAGCAAGAGGGCACACATGGATGAAGGAGCAGTTTACAGGAGTTTCAGAGAATCAGAACGTAAGTGAATACATCTGGGCTGAATGCACAAAGATTCAATAAAACCCGTCTACTTTTTTGTAGTGTGTGTCTGCATCTCTTTTCTGAAAACCTAAAGGGGAGGAAATTCTAGAAATCAAACTTAGAAAAAAAAAAATTGCAATAGTAAATAAATAAACTAAAACTGAATAAATCCATTTCTAAGGCTCTCAGTAAATGAACTGGCTGATCCTACGCAGCCTGAATGGTGATAACCCCATACACAAAGATAACATCCCTCATCTGCATATGTACATATTATCCCAGCATAAAGCTAGAGCCCAAACAGGACACATGACACACAAATCAGGACAGGTGATAACCAGCGCTGGGAGAATATGAGTGCTCTGTAAGCAGTGCACGGCAAAAAGTTGTTTTAGTTTGCAAATGCAGGCAAACATGAGTCAGCATGTGCAAACAGACAGACGGGAGGAGAGCAGCCATTGTTGTTCAAAGAGCATGGATTCTACAAAGGGCGTGAGCAGCATGGCTCCTACAGCCGGCTGTGAGAGAGCTTCACATAGCAGACACCACAATCATCTTTTATGCCAGCCACAGAGAGGACTTAATGAAAATCAATGGCTGCCCTGCTTTCTGCCAATAAACAAGCAAGATGGCTCTCCCCTTCAAGGGTAAATGAGAGCAATGGAAATATTCCTGACTATGGCCTTCGAAACCGCAGCAGACTTTGGGGCCACGTGTCCTGTCTGGCGCAATTAGCCTGAAGTCATCTTCTGTCACCTCCTTGTCAAAGTGACCACACAAGCATGAAATCCACTTAATTAGACACTCAACAGACAAGCTGAGGCTGCAAGAGTGCCTGCATAAGTCTAATCACGTGGAGAAAAAGCAGCACATTGCTGCACTGTGCTCTGGCACTTTTACATATATCAACAAGAGCCTATGGTCAAAATCATTCACAAGTTCCACACAGCAGATGGGAGATAAAATTCCATTCCCTGAATGACTGGCCTACGACCAGCAGCTACGAGCAGACTCTAATCATGTTGCGTCTGGGCAAGATTTCCATTTTATGAAATGCACATGAGAGTTAAAAATCTATAGAAATAAAACTCCACATGCATGCTCAATACATTCCCATTACAGCAGAAGTACATTTCAAACACTTGTATACTACGAGAAACATTACCATCACTGTTACTGACTGCTTTTCCAATAAACGGAGAAGAAAAAGGTAGGAGTAAGTATATAAAATCAAAATAGGACAACAAAATGGAATATGAGGGAGTAGAGGAAAAAAGAAACACAAAACGGAGGTCAAGCCAAACATCCATTACACTGACCATGTTGAAAATTCATCTGTATTCCGGTATTGTGGAGGTTTTTAGACTATTTGCAGAAAAACAGTGAAAAAGAAATGCGAACGTAGTGCATATGCACATTATGTATGTACACTAGGGTATTTAGTAGAGGTAACAAAATGTACCCGCTAAATGAAAGTTAATGAACAACAGTGATCTGCTTTTGTGTATGAATAACTAATCAGGGTGTCACAAATGAAAGGCAGAAAAAGCACTCCATAACACGTTATTACAAATACACAGACATGATGTCTAAATAAAATCACCTGAGGTGTGTTTCTAGACATTCAGGAAAATAAAATCATAAATATAGCACCTATTAAATAACACAATATTGCACCACTAAAGGTAGATCTGAGAGTATGAATGAAGAATGAAGAGCAGAATGAGAGAGTGAGGGCTTCACTGGCTATCCTAATTGGTCATTTTAATTATTTTTCTGCTTATCCCCTGAGGAGCAGTGCTGATTATGGAGGCTTAATTAGTGGGGACAGTGGAGGATAGCCGCTCATACACTCAAGTAACCAGGAGAAAGGGAGCGTGCACACACAGACACACACACACATACACATACTCCACTGAGCCACATGCAGAGGTATTGACTTTTATTGTCATATCAAACACAGCATGAATACCTAATATAGAAAACGGCAAGAGAAAAATCTCTGTGTGATTTCAGACGCACGCTAAACTAAGCAGTGTTCACCTTGACGTATCTTTCCATTTATCACAGACTCCACAGTATCTATTCTGCATATGAACAATCCTAGTTCCCAAAATATGACTCTCAGACACAGGTCTACTTTCAGTGTGTATTTTTAGAAGGCCTCATGAGAAGAACATCAGGAAACGAAGCACCATTACCAGCTACCAAGGTTTAACTTGCATACGTCGCTGACCTGCAATGATCCACCTGTGGTCTGGTGGATCAAGTATCAAACTCTGTTTCGGAAAATTGTAAAGGGGAAGTGAAGAAAACATTGAGAACTCTTGCCAATGTGATGCCAAGCTCATATGAAAGAACTAGCATCAAGAAAGGCTGCCTCATGCTTTGTGAAATGTTGCACTCAAACCCAGTACAAAGACTTCATACCAAGGTTCAGCACCTGTATGGCAGGGGTAACTGTCCATACCACATAGTGGCAGTATTAGTAATCTTGAAAAGATAATTAGTAAAGACCCAATATTGCAGAAAAACTATACAGATAAGAAAGTATACAGACTGTGCACTTTAATACCTATAGTGGCATATTTTTTGACATAATTCAGTAATATGAGGATCGAATGTAACCAAACAAACTAGTTTGGGTACCATTTTATTCCAGTCTGAATGAGTATAAATGGTCTAATCAGAATCTGAAGATGCTTCACATACGCAGCGTTTAGTCTGTTTGAATTGAATACTGGTGTATTTTGCCCTTTTTTAATAGCTGAGAACGCTGAAATTGTCTGAGCAAGGTGGTCTCGGTCCGGTTACAAGCAAACACGGTTTGAATGCAGTTACAATTACAGTTACAGTGACCCAACTGCAGGAAGTCAACTAAACGTGCTGGGTGTTTAGGGCTGGATGTTGTTCTTCTTTCAGCCGTTCCCGTTAGAGGTCGCCACAGCGGATCATTGGTCCGAGTATTTGTTTTGGCACAGTTTTTACGCCAGATGCCCTTCCTGACACAACCCTCCCCAATTTTATCCGGGCTTGGGACCGGCACTAACAGCGCACTGTTGCACGCAACCCCAGAGGCTGGGAATCGAACCCGGGCCGCAATAGTTAAAGCGCTGTGAACTAACCACTAGTCTTCCAGGGTCAAGGCTGGATGCGAAACAGAAAAATGTTTTAAAAAACTAGTTATTCATATAATTATCTAATCATTTATTAGATAATTAACGTTCTCCACGGCCGGGTGATTTTTTATTTTTTTTTTATTTTTTATTTTTTTACCGTACATGCCCATCATCCAAAGATTTTCCTTTTTTCTTTTGACTTTTTGGTTCAGTTAATCATCTAGAGTGTGAAACCAAAACAAAGAGCAAATAAACCAAAAAAAAAGCTGAAAAAATAAGATGACATTATGTCTATATCCACTTGACAAAGGCAGTCACTTTGCTCATTATCCCACTTCCATTTACCATCCTCAATTGGTGCTGAAGGGGCCTGACAATGGGCTGACTAACACAATTGGTACAGGACACACCACAAATACTACAGGCAACAGTTAATTCCAAGCTTCAGAGCCCACAGAGAAAGGAAGAGCCTACGTAAGAACCTACGTGGCAAAACGCCCACTGTTGGTCATTCAGACAGCCAAACTCTTCACCTCACTAAACAAATCTAGCACTAGACACCATCTTCTAGGAATCAACATAACTATACCAGAAAAGCAACCATACTAAAAAAGGCAATGCAGGAAGCATGAGTCTCACCTACACACACAGTTTTAAAAGACTGAGGGGGCTGAAAGGATAAGAAAAAAAGAAGAAAAAAAGAAAAAAAAAAAACACCACTCTACCTACCTGCCTACCTAGCTATCCATCAGCCCATGCTGTGAAAGACAGGCAACAAGAAATGAAAGAAAGTGAGTCAGAGTGAGGAAAAGGGACAGAGACAGAGATAGTGAGTGAGGGCAGTTCTCTCTGAGTTATGTGCTGGGTGATGATTGCCTATTGGTGTAACCTCGCGGCCTTAATCAGAGCGGCTGAGAGGACGGCTGTCTGAGGGTATCAAACTGTGACACACAAAACACACACACTGCTACAGCGCTTTATTACTTTATTAACTCCCTCTACCTAGGAGATATGAGACTTGCACTGTCACAGTAAAGTGTTTTTGCTCTTGGCTAGCACTTGCTGTCTGCAGTGTATGTGTGTGTGTACCAGTCTATGTAACTGAACATTTGTGAGCATGGTTGTAGCACTGATTAATAAGGACAATGCCAAGACAGAGAAGTGATGCAGAGGGACTGATTATTCCAACCAGTCTACCTCAGTCTGATCCCTTCACAGTACACTTATCTGAAGCATTCATCTCCACTGCATTCTGGCATCGAGTTCTGAAGCTTTGACATCAGCTCAGTCCATGTGAGCTTCAAGGAACTTGGAGCCTTCTGACCATTCCTGATTCACTTTTTGGCAAGAGACACAGTATTGAGATGGACAGATCTGTGGATTGACGCAAATGTCAGGAACTGATTCGTGTGCTTTCGTGCTCTTGATTTTGCCTGTTTGAAGTATGCTGAAGTTCTTCACTTTGTGCCCATGATCAAACTGAATCCTTTGAAGCTGAGATGGCTACACAATTCACTTCCATACAAGGGAATTTTTTCAGCCCTTTATAGGAGATATGGTGCAGAGAGCAGCTAACACTGAAACTGAAAGAGGAAAAGAAAAGAAAAGAAAAAAAAAGCTTTTTCCAAGAGCTTGGGGCTGCAACAGATCGAAATAAAATAAAACATTTACAATCCATACTTTCCTATCCAGCTTCCTGAGGACATATCCTACCAATAATCAAACCATGTATCATAAGCTTATAACATTTCTAAAAGCCATAACTACTACATTCATATCTTTATCTTCAGAATTCTGTGTCCCTGGAAACTCAAAGCACACAAGGTAGTTCAAGGTATGTTTGGTGAAGTGTGAAACCTGTGAAATGAAATCGGTGCTCTGGGGTTCGCTGTAACCGAACCATGGTGCGGTCCGTATCAGGTGTGGAGGTTATCCATGCTCGGCACTGCATGCCGAGTAAAAACTTGTCATGTTACTTATTGTTTCACGTCTTGTGATGCCAGAGAAAGGGTTGTTATGGTCAGTGCTGCAGATGGAATACTTTAGTGATATATGAAACCGAATTTTCACAGGACTGGAGCACTGTATTTAGCTCCTGTTTGTGGTGCAAATACTTGCACTGAGATCATAAATGGCTAAAAATCCTCTTGTACAAGAACAGCTCCTCGTTTGAAGGTATTCCTGCACAATGACTTGTCGTGCATCAAAACAGTGTTGGTTTAACAGTACTGAACCTCATGCCTACCACTTTGCAAACCTGCATGCACAAAAGTGACACGGTACAATCGATCCACAGTTCAGAAGAAATTCTTCTATATGAAAGCAAATCAGCTATTGTGATCCCCTTCCCCCAAAAAGCCCAGAATCAGTCCTGGGTGCGGACTCAATTATTAGGGCCAAGTATGAAAACACCCAACGAGACACTCAGGACAGTGCCTTGACTCTGCAAGACAGGGTCAGTGGAACACAGGGTATCTTGTTGATTTTATTACAGTAATCCAGCAGTCTGCTACAGCATGAAGGAAACATGATGGGGAACATGGGGCTACCGTGATGAGGAGCGTCTGAGGTTTTTACAGAGAAACAAGGGATGAAATATTGATGTTCCAAGGTCTGTCTCACTGACCCAGGTCCTGGCCGGTGGGTATTGGCTTTTCTGTGTCAGAAAACAAAGGCCAGTCATTTGAAAGAGTTCGGAAGAACAGGCTAAAGGGTTATGGGTTACTGGTGAAAATTCCCAGTGGGGCATCTGTGCCTGACGATGAGATTTTCAATGTCAGAGATGGAAAAAAGAGAAGACAACTTTTTTTTCTCAGCAGCATGCAAAGGATGTGTGTGTCTACCCACTTACATGAAAGAGTGCATAAAGTACTGGGATTTGTTAAGGATCCATTCCATATCTGACTTCATCTGTATCCAAAGTGAAAGCCTACATGAATATAATGCTGATGGAAAGGGCTGTCAGAGTAGGCTAAACCTAAAGTTTATCTCCTCGGGGATGCATAGCGCAGACAAGCCTGTCGTGCCCATGTCCATCTTTAGGCTCATTACAGCTCCTACTGTACCTCGTTGAGCTAACTAAGCAGCTTAGAGCAGAACAGCAGGGAGTACATGGCCATATTGACGACAGCACGAGTGACTGTTCTTGCTGAAGCTGGTAATTTACAGCATGGCTATGCACTCCCCCAACTGCTTCTGGCTCTTTTCCTTCCAACATACTCCAGGCCTGGGGTTCAGCACTTTTGCTACTCAGTCGCCAGCCTGAGGAGCCAGGGACAGCGCACTTCCTAGCACCAACGCTAAGCTGTTTTCACTTAACAGAGAATTCTAAATGCAGAGAAAGAGATCTGGACAGCCTTCAGGCAGAAGAATTTGAGGGAATACGCACAAAAAAAAGAATAAAACAGAACCCCCCTCGAGGCTGTAGGCATAACAGTCTGTAAGGTAATTTGACACAATTCACACTCGTTCTCTTACTGTCTGCGAGCTATAATGCTCCAGCTAGAGCTTCTGTATACACATTGCTCAGACATGCACTGGAGTATGAAAGGCTATAGGGGGTTAAGGAGTCAGGAGAGGATGAGTCTTTGATTAAAGTGGTATCACTGAGAGCTGAACTGCTTTGGGGTTTTTGATGGGCTTATGATATACACTATACGAACACACACATATACACACATTATAAAGTGAAACCAAAACAATGTGAACACAGAAAGCTGCACTCAAGGCTGCTGGAAAACTCATTATATGTGTGTGTGTGTGTGTGTGTGTGTTATTATAAACATTGTGGTTAAAACGTTGCTTACATTCATTCAGAAGAACAAAGTGTGCAATTGGAGCGACCTGCTGTGTTGTGATTGGGTTAAAACACTGGCTTTTCTTGATTAAGAGACACATTTTGCTTGCAGCGTGTGTAGAGGGGTTAGCATGTCTCACAATGCAAACTGTCATGTTAACTCATAAAACCCACTATTCATTTTTACAACTACTAGTGATCAATCTGTGTTGGAATGTTTTACTGATTTGACCTTTTATTCTTTTTCTGCACATTTAAACAAGAAACTGGATTTACAGTACTAATATGAAAGTGAAATTCAGTTTGGTTTTATTTGTTCGGCCAAAGACCAAAGAATTCCAAAAAAAAAAAAAAAAAAAAAATCAGACAACAAATAAGGTCTAGATGTAAATATCAGTCAGTAAAGGATTTCTTCTGTCCAGTAAGTATGTTTCAAGTGTCTGATATAATAATATTATATTATTATAATAATAAGCAGTTATCAATGTTTGTAGTCAATGGTTTGTCAATGTTTCTTTAAAATACTCAGTATGCTGTTATAAGGCAGTGGATCTCTCTTTTAAACACACTAACAGGTTACTGTTTGAAATAATACTGCCTGTATATTATCCATGCAAAAAACCTATTCATTTGTGCACAAAAATTCTATTTGCGAAACACAGATATAAGAAAGTAGCTTTTCACAAAATTCCTGAAGACATGCATTTCTGCATATTCTAGGTGACGTAAATCTTAATATGCACACTGCTGATACTATAATTCAGACTAATTGTTAAATGTAGTCAAGATGTACAGTTGTACAAGTATTTTACTGCAATAAAACATTTTTATCAAAGCACAGCTGAATTCTGGAATCTGATTGGTCAGAAGGTGTGCATTATTTCTGTATAACCACACGACAATGAGAGCTCTTCTGGCTATAACATGGAAGATAGATTTAATATTAATATGCTTGTTCTAATAACAGCTCATCCAGGTTTGTTGTTAGGAGACATTTATTTCATGTTTATGGAAGCCATCTCGAGTGCAATCGCTTTGTAACAGTCATCGGGCTTTGTAAAGATTCCCAACACTGGAAACTCTTCAGGACAGAGGGGAGGACGCTTTCCGGTTTTCTCAGTAAAATGGCAAGCTGTGCTTGTTGAGAAAGAGAGATAAAAGGAAGTGTCGGTGATGGCGTGACTGTTTATTGTTGCTATAACGTATGTGATAATGGGAACTTAACT